AGATTTTCAAAGTCAAAATATAGCTTAAGTTCAATCAATGAACTAAAATTCAAGAGTAAGTTCAATCAAAATTTTCGGGTCATGTGACAACATAAGAACCAGACCAAAAAAAATTTTGAAGTTCAATATAGAAAAGAGCAAAATAAATTTCCAAAAAAACTAAGTGCAACACAAGTGCAACTGTAAATCTAATAGTGTTAAAATCATAAAGTGAAAGGAAATATTAAAGCTATATGAGCATGATTTTCTAAAGAATTCTCAAAAAAAATACAAAAGTAAGCAAAATATTAAGCATATGTAATATGCTAAATAGCGAAACGAAAATCACAAGATATTTTAATAAATCATGATACATGAGAGTAATGCCGCAAGCAAAAATGGTATGCAAAAGTCTACGATATATGTAGGTGCAAAATTGGAGTTATATAAAAAAAAACAATCTAGTGAACAAGAAATAGAAATAAATATGATAGGTAAGAATTCGAATTTTGATTTAAAGCAAAAATATGAGAGAAAGACAACTTTCTAGGGTCACCATAGGTGCACTCCAAAGCCCTAGACAAGAATGTCTATAGTCTATGGAATATTCTCATGTAGATCACTGATATCATCAGCGCACTTCAAAGTCTACACTGAGAATAACCATAACATTGTAAAATGAAAGTTAAGTTCAAATATGAAATATTACAAGATTAGAAAAACTATAATAATTTACCAGTGTAAAGTATGAAAAGAGAATTACTATACTGAATCTATAAGAATTGGCGATTACTTCAAGTCAAGACAGAAATTGAAAGAAATAAGAAGCCGGAAAAAAGATTATGAGAGCAGACTATCAAAACAAATGCAATAATGCAAAAGCAAAATCACCAGATATTTAGAAATCTATAGCGAAACATGAAAGTAATGTCGCAAACAAGCTCAAGACTTAGCAATACGCACAAATGTGCACAAAGGCTGAAAGCATATATGAAAAATCTCAAGAAGGAATTGACAATTACTTCAAATCAAATAGAACTGATTGAATTGAACTGAGACATAAATTACTATATCAAAAGTGAGTTTTACTTATACGCCAGAGGTTTCAAGAGTTTATCAATACGCACAGATTTGCAACTAGGCGGAAAGCATATATGACAAGTCTCAAGAAGAAAATAAAATGCATATGAAGAAAACACTTTCAATTAAAGAAACTGTGGATAGTACAAGACCCTCAAAGGCATACATCGCAACGCATCTATGTAACTATCCAGACTACAAAATACTGTCAAAGTTCAAAACCACTCAAAAATATGTAAACAAACATCAAAAGTTTGAACCAAAAATCAATGTAAGTCTGTGCTCTCTAAGAAAGTTATAATGAACTCAAAAAGAGGATACTATCTTCAAAAATAGAAGTACGTAAGTATTTGAAGGAAATTCAGAAAATATACGCATAAAAACATTATAAAATATTATACACAGTATTTGTCACATGATTTAGATCGGGAATGCAATTTAAATTTTGAGTACACTCAGAAAAATGAAATATTCAAAAGATGAAGTATACACATTAAATTGGAATCAGAAAAATAATTATGACTTGTAAATTTTGTAAATGGTGGACTGACGTAATAGTTCAAAAGGTTGAAAGAACAACGATGACAAATGTCCAAAGTAAACAATCAGCTGCCTCTTACAGCAAATAAGTTTATTCATTATCAAAGGAAATTCTTCTCCGTTCGCATCTGTACTAGGAAATAAACATAGGAAAACCTACTCGCTCCAATGTACAGATCGAAAAACTCGCCCCCTTCGATTGAGCGGAAGTATGAGTATTGGACTGATTGTAATATTTCAAAAGGCTGAAGGATCAACGATGTTAAATGTCCAAAGTAAACAATTAGCTGCCTCTTACAGCAAATAAGTTTAATCATTATCAAAGGAAATTCTTGTCCGTTCGCATCTGTACTAGGAAATAAATATAGGAAAACCTACTCTCTCCAATGTACAGATCGAAAAACTCGCCCCCTTCGATTGAGCGGAACTGATTATTATTACAAATGATAATGATTAAGCAAAGCCAAACACCTATCGAAGCCCCACGTTGGGCGACAATTTATGTAACGCTTCCTTTCGGCAAAAAGTCCAGAAAAGATGGAATGCAATGAAGATTCCAACTTTTCTGCACAATCACAGAAAGGGGGTTACCATTAGCTTCCGGTAGCTCAGTCGGTGGCATGAAGACATCTACAGGCGTGTAGCTGTGTGTCGACCATGGCATGGCTAGAGGATAGAAGAACAAACAGAACACAAAAATTTAACAGATTTTATTTAACAAAACAAAAGGCATTTTCATTACATTACAATTTTACAAAAATAACAAAATAAGTTTTATATCTTTGGCGCTGCTATAACGCTATCGACTTATCTTTCGCTGGTCCATTTTGACTCGACTGAAGCCAGGATGGCCAGGGGCTTGAAGGGGAGGTCCCAGTTATGAGGGGTGACCTCCATATAGTGGCTTCATGACCAGTTGTAGGCGAAGTTAAAGGCGATGGCGCTGCCAAGGCACATGCATGGGTGAAAATATTGGCCAAGGCTAGGCAAAGTGAAAGGGAAAGAGAAAGGGGGTGGCCCCAATCTGAAAAAGAACCGTGTGCATTAGCAACGTGCCCTAATGGCCAAGGCATTTCCAATCTCAGTCTGCCTCAAAAGAGAACCAACGATTTTCTAGGTTAGAATTACATTATATAGTTTGATAAAATCAAACCGAAAATTGGAAATGCCTTTCATAAAATAAAATCATGAATAACAAAAAAAAAGCGTAAAACAAGATGGTGGTCATCAAAAATTTCTCCACATGCTTCTGATACAAAACACAATCATCGAATATTCATAATCAACGTACTTATAATTTCACTGAACTATGAATATATATACGCGCACAGAGGTAAAATCGATGTGGATCGATTTCCACCTCGATTTGATTAAAGTGATGGCGACTGATCGAAGTAGTCGAAAATGACGTTCGATGGATATTTTAAAATCGTACAAGAAATAAACCACTTACATATCGATTATCTATAAACTACAGGCAGATCCAGCAATAAAACTGTATAGTATTATAAAACTCACCATTTTTGTCCTATACGGACACACATTCTAGAAAATTCTAGCACATGGTGCTATATAACCTTGTGCTACAGAGAAGAAATTTCTAGCCGTTGTTCGATCGGCGGCTCAAGTGAAAAGGAAGCGCGAGGAAGATCGCAGATCAGGAACTCCGCATCAAGCGCTCCAAGAGGAAAATTTTCCAAGTAGAAAAGCTAGAGATGGGATTAATGAAATGATAATCGAGAAGTGATTTAATAAATACGATCGGACGGTGAAACCGTTACAAGGTCGCGCACTTTGGGTGTAGAAACTGTTGAATTTAATGAAGATCGAATATATCTGAATAGCTTTTTTCTGTTTTTCGATGATACCAGCTTATTTTTAAATTGGCGGTTAGCAGCTTGCAGTGTCTCCGAAGGTGTTTTAGAGAAATTTTGATAATTCATGTAGTAATAGCAACTGAGAAACTTGAAAATATTTCATCCTTCACATAGATGCATACCCGGCAATATCCTGGTATTAGGGTAGAATCCATCCTAAAAACATTATAACCTGGAATATTTATCGTTGAATCGCTAATATCTTGATGGAGCCATGTTTTAGTCAGACCGAAAAATGTAGGAGAGTTCTCTTCAGCAAAGGCGATAAGTTCAAGAATATTGGAATGAACAGACTGGATGTTAGTGTCCGTTTTTTGATGAATCAGTATTACTATTGAGAGTTGAAATAATCCTGGGCGAATGACCGATGTATTTAATAGTGATATCCTTCTCACCAGCCGCTTGTCTGTGATGCAACTCTTGACGCAGTGAGTTCAAGTGCGAAATTTGAGTTGGGGTTTTGTCATCAGTGATCGTAAGATTGCGATATGATGGGTTACGTAATACCAATCGTTTTCTGCGCAAGAAGTTTAGGGCAGATAACGGATTAGGAAAACACACTTTTTCTGGGCGAGATTGGTTATTAGATGTCGTAGGGCCAAGTCTTGATATGCAGTATAATGTTGTGAGACCTTCTGAACATCTCAAGTGTCTCAGCATGGGATAGTGTTGCCCATTCAGATTGAGTTCGTTGCTCAAGCTTCTATTCTAGACACACGTAAGATTCGAAGATAGCGTTGTATGAGATGTTTGGAGCTGCTAGATATCGGTTTGGCATGCACTTAATAACGCATTATGACGAGAGGTAATATTTGAATGTTGCTGCAACAAAGTTGTACATTGCGCAACATCCATAGATAGGCAGGACTGTGAATCTTTTATATCCTTTATATCATTTGCTATGATGGCAAGTTGGTTCAGATTAAGTGATAGCTCATCGTTAGAATTTGATAGCGTATAAAATTTCCAAAAATATCTATCACAAAGTCAGACATACTGTCATATCCAGGATGTTATGCTAGTACACAAATAGCTAATCATTATAGAAACCTACGGATTTTGGAAGCCCTGTTGTCTCCTTTACGTTCTTCAACCGTTCCAAGTAGTTGCTTCCTTTTAGAAGGAATTACATCAGGATAAGGTACAGGCAAAATCTTCTGACTCCGACCTATAACGATATTGCTTGTATTAGCTTTCGTAAATATCAGAGACCTGAGAAATCTACGGTATGAATGCTTTATCGGCACGAACAGGTATGGTATGCCCTTTAAGGTTCAAAATGGGCATGAATCAATTATGTGAAATTATTTTTGCAACCGATTTATGTTCTCTAGTTTAAAATGTTTATCAAAATGCGGTGGGACTGTTATCTTATGTTACAGCTTATACTCAACCAACTTTGGCTATCAGCTTCGAGGAGTTATTGTTAGGGTGTATTTGTTTCTATTTCCAAACATTAATGATAAATTATATGATAACAAGTTACAGGTTCCAATCCAATTACCTTCGTCGTTAGTACATATAGGATAACAAGCGTTCCTTGACGCATTATTGTGTACTTCACGAATATAGATAATGTTATAACCTTTAGAAGCCTAGGTATCCATCCAGTTAGCAGCGAGGATGAACTACGTACAGTGGCTGGTTCTCGTCGCTGGTAAGTTGTAATACTCATATACATTTATATATATATATATATATCATATATATGTATATATATATACAGATAGAATTTTTAGACTCTAATCGGTCGATAGACCCGCTATTTTGAATGATACCTAAAAGGGTTAGCTACAAAAATTCTAGGCACTCCTCCGTTGGCAGATATGCCGATCTGATTCATAACTACGTATCAACATCAACAAACATTTTTACAATAGAATATCCTACAGTATATTCAGATAAGAGATAGACCGGATGTAAACAAAAGGTTCGGGTGATTTTCACGCTAACGCCGCCGTCTCGACGTAAAACAGGAGCCCTCATTGGTCAATTCGCAATTAAATGCCTATGCCGAGCGGCAGAGCAGTCGTATCAAGGCAGAGTCACATTCAGGTTCAGACGTGTTACGTATGTCGTGTGCATCATTGCAATTTGATATTTCTTTGGACGTTTTCGTTTGTTATCTTATTAAGTTGTTGAGTTTGTCGTTGTTATTGTTATACCTTGTTATTGATTGTTATTGTTATCAACTGCTTGCGCAAAATGCCCAGTAGTACAGATACTGCCGATGAAGTTGTAAACTCCTGTAGTCCACCTAGGAAACGCTCTAAAACAAGACACCTGAGTGCAGAAATGAAAGAGGTCATTTTGAATATATATAAGATCGAGCGCGAGGAGAACGAGGCATCAACCGTCAAAGAAATTGTTGTGAAGGTTTCTCACAAAGTTGGGGTATGTCGCGCATCAGTGTTTAATGTGTTAAGACAATACAAAAAAAATCACACCTTTTCTGAGCCAATGACCAGTAAACATCGCAAAAGTATTGTTAAATCATTGGATGAAGCTGATAAGCATGCGATTAGGAGGAAAGTGCATGAATTCTTCTTTAAGAATGAAATACCTACTATAGATAAAGTACTGCAGGAGGTAAATGGAGATACAACGTTGCCAAATTTCAAACGATCAACTTTCCATGCGTTACTGAAGCATTTAAATTTCAAATGGAAAAAACGGGGTCGTAATAGTTTACTACTGGATAGAGAAGAAATTGTGCTATGGAGGAGGGATTATTTAACAAAAATTGGGAAATATAGAAATCAAAACAGGAAGATTTATTACCTTGATGAAACGTGGGTAAACGCAGGACACACTACAAGTAAAGTATGGGTTGATGATTCTGTAACTTCATCCAGGAGGGCCTTTCTAGATGGACTGTCCACCGGATTAAAAAATCCAGCAGGTAAATACGAGTAATAGACAACAATCGGATGTTTTTCAAACCTTGGGAACAAGGTTCTAAACATTAATTTCAGGGGGCAGATAAAACATATTACAAGTAACAAAACTTTTATAACTTTCGATAAAATGCGTGGATGTTTTATTGTCATTTTCATTTGTTAGAACTTTTTTAAGTCATGTTTTTATGTGTTTTCGATATTTCAATAATTTTTTAATATAATCTTAAAATATGTCGAATATTATAAACTTAAAAAAAGTTACTAAGTTTTATATTGTGTACCGTTCCTAATATTTCTAATCATTTTAATTCATACTTTAAGCTTTATAAAGTTATAATTTGTTAATATTAATATTTGCGCGTATTTCAGGTTCCTGATCATTCATTTTTTAAAGGTTTATAACTTTAAATTAAATTGTGAAGCGCTGAGTAATCATACGACGTTCAATATTCTTTCTTTCAATATGACTAAATTATCCCAATTATAGCAATCTGATACTCATGTCTCAATGTTTTTTCGCTGAATGTGATGAAAACATTTGAAAAAGGTTCGCTTATTGAAATAAATCTACACCAGTTAGTACTTCGATTTCCACAATTATTAAGAATTGTCAAGGATCACAAGGCGGAATATCAAAAATACGCCATTGACGAAATGGCAGCAAGTCAAAATAAAACTGTGCTCCGTTTACCTCCATACCATTGCGAGCTCAATCCCATTGAGCTCATATGGACAGAGGTTAAAAATTATATAGCTAAGCACAATACAACTTTTAAATTTTGTGACCTCAAAGGACTTTTCAAAGAAGCACTAGAATTAATAACAGCGCAAAAATGGGAAAACTGTATTAAGCACGTGAAAGACAAAGTTGAAAAGAGAATGTGGGAACTGGACAATATTTTAGAGGAACAAGTCGAGCCACTCATTATTGACGTTGGTGCTTCAGGCAGTAGCGATGATGAAAGCTCATCAAGCTCATCTTTCCAATAAAAGATGTCGTTCATCAAATTCGGTAAGTTATAAGTAATTATAAAGCTACTGTATTTTTTAATTAATTATTGACATTTTTGAACCCATTTTGGCAAAACCTATTCAAGAATCTACTTTCTGACAATGTTCAACCATGCACATTTTTTTACGTTTTGAACGTTTTAATTTGGTTACACATTTACCTAGAAATCAAAAAATATACTAATCAATATTCTAAAAGCAATTTTAAGAGATATACGATTATTTTTAATTTAGGCTAATTTAAACGCCATTTTGAGATTATATTTCACTGTATTTCACCAAACATCAGGCAGCATCCGAAGCTGGAAATCGAAGCGAAAATTTTGAAACCCTTATGTATATTTACATCATTATATATTTCTTACCCCACCCCCACATGATCCTATATCCATCACCAATCGTATACACATCGAATTGTGCTAATTTACTACAAAGCTACGCAAAGCAGCATCTACTATCTAAAATATGTACTGCGTGACTCTTAATACGTCCCTGCCGAATGTTACAGCGTTCGATGATCACGTGGTCTTGTTTATGTCCGGTCTATCTCTTATCTGAATATACTGTATATATTCTAGTATAATGACAGTTATGTTATATATCTGCGAAGGGCTGGGAAATTTCGAAACTGGAGGTACTACAGACCAAAATATGTGAATTGACCTAAAGTACCTTAGTCCAAAAGTTGATAGTTTGCGAGACACAGTGTCAGAGTTACAATTTTATTTTCCATTTTCCCTTATTGCTTGAGAAGTATTTCAGATTCTGGCATTAAACTCGGTATAGAAAGATTGTATCGTGGCCGGCTACATCACCAGATTCAAATCCTACGGATTTCTTCTTCTGGGCTGATTTAAAACGACGTGATTACAATACGCCAGTGGAACCTGTAGATGATCTTCGACAAAGAATTTTCCACCATAACCAGGAAATGAAAAATAACATCGAGAGTGTGTTAGGCAAAGTGGTGCTCATTTAACAATTTTGTAGTTATTATTTCCGTTTATTAGTTTTGTTACCATCCCCACTTGTTATTGTTAAAAACCATAGCAACGTGAAAATAACATTGTAACTTTGACAACCTGTATCTCGCAAACTATCAACTTTTGGACTAAGGTATATTGAGGTCAATTCACATATTTTGGTCTGTAGTATCTCAAGTTTCGAGATTTCCCAACCTTTCGCAGACACCCGTATAGGGTTTGGATCGCTACTTCTGAAGCTGCAGGATATTTTTGTCCCAAAAAACACTTAACTTTACCAGCTCATATGACAGTCACTTTTACAGATAGAGCGGCAAGATTTTCGTCAAAATGATTCGGCAGATTCAAATGGACAAATGGAACACCATGTATATATTCACGGTTTTGGGTTATCTTTTTTATAAGCTCCATTTTTGGAGAGTTATATTACTGAATTTTTGAGTTATTTGCACTTAAATATCATATTATCAGTGGAAAGGCAGGATTTTTAATAGATGGAATTTCAATAAAGGCTTGTTCCCATCTGCACATAAATCATGTGCTATTTACTTACTTTGAATTATAATTTCTGGTAAGCTGGAAATAACTCAAAAATTTAGAGATTAAACCTTCAACTCACCCTGTAAGTCTAAGAGAAAGTTTCAGAACGGCCAGGTATGAATATATCTAGTACAATCCTGAACAAATAGTCTAATCAGATGTGACGGCAATTCTTCTATACATTTGAAATTTTAACTACACAAAAACTGAAAAATGTTTAACCCACCAAGATAATCTTTGAGTACTTAACAAGTGACAAGGGTGTTGAAAATAGTAGAATATTATGTTTTGAATTTTTTGCGTGTCGAGCGTGTCGAGCAGAGAACAGACATACTGATGGAAATGGATAATACAGTGCTTCACGATTATTGTATAATTTAATAAATAATAGTTTAGAAAAACTAAAAAACACACTTTTATCGCTAACCGAACTAAACATAGAAAACAATTTTCAATTACAAAGAGTATATATTTCAGTAGAAGATGGTCGAACAATCAATCATAATTAATGACCTCAAAATAAAATTGTAATAAAATTAAAGTTATTAACAGAATAATTCAATTCAGAGTAAAAAGCGTGGGGTGCTTGATATATTAAATGTCACAATCATTCTATTGGCAACTATCTATGAGAGGAGAGTTATGAAAATGTAGTAAAATGCACCCTACCCTTTTTACTCCGAATTGAATTATTCTGTTAATAACTTAAATTTTATTATAATTTTATTTTGAGGTCATTAATTATGAATGATTGTTCGACCATCTGCTACTGAAATATAAGCCCTTTGTAATTAAAAATTATTTTCTACTATTTAGTTCGGTTAGCTATAAAAGCGTGTTTTTTAGTTTTTTAAGCTATTATTTAGTTTTCATTTTTTAGTTCGATTTATCAATTAGTTTTTTGTGGACTTGTGGTATTGAAATGTCTTTCGAATCATTTCGTAATCTGATCATTTCATTCAAAGCTTCACTGTTGCATGGGGTTTTTCCTGTTAACTTAGAGCAATTAAGTTCTTCAATCCGAATACCGTCTAAAGATCTTACACGACTAAGTACTACATAAGCTTGTCCAGCAGCAAACAGTCGCGGGCCTAGATAAATTACTGCGTGATCGATTGTACAGCCTTGCATCTTGTGAACGGTCGAAGCCCAACTCAGGATTAATGGCAACATTCGCAATGAACAAGGTGAGAATGAACTACCTTGAAAAAATATCTGCCTCCGTTGTGCTATCCCGAGAGCCCGAATCAACAATGAGTAAGTCCGAAACTGCTCGCATCCGCAGATCGCGCGCTAGCTCTATCTTTTACTCCCCTAAAGAGGATCTATAAAACAATTTATCAATCCTGGCGGTCCTAATAAGGATAATGGAAAACTGCTTTCAAACTATTGCATTGTCATCGGTCGTTAATAGGTACGTATGTGAAGTTTCAAATTAATCAAACTTCTGGAAATTGGTGAAAATTATGCTAAAAGAATCCGTTACGTACATAAATACATACATACAGGCCAAGCTAATAACAGAGTGTTAAAAAAAATAAAAAAAGATATACTACGATCTGCCTCCTGTGAGGATTGAACTCACGGCCCCTGGTTCACAAGTCTAGTTCTCTGCCACTGAGCTACACAGGCTTATAGTTTCACTATCCGTAAAGCGGCATTTGAAATCCGTGGCTTTTTATTAACATATCTGCTTTTTACAGAATTTTACTTATAAGGATAATGCAAAACTGTTATCAAATTATTGCATTGTCATCGCTCCTTGATACGTGAGCGAAGTTTCAAATTAATCAAACTTCTGAAAGTTGGTGAAAATTATGCTCAAAGATTCCGTTATATTCATACATACAGGCCAAGCTAATAAAAGCGTGTTAAAAATAATCGGAAAACAGTTTTGGCGTATCCTGCGTTTTAAAATTAAGGACTCATTTCGATAATCTTGTAATTAAGTTGAAAATTTCATGAGCTTACTTATTCCCTATAAATCAGTGCCAACTGCGTCTGTGTGCAGACTGCACGTTGACAACTAAAGTGTGCCCATAATTAACGCAAGATTTGAATGTGCAATAAATCGTAGGCAGCCCTGAAAAAAACAATTTGACAGCTGAGAGGTTAGGGTTAGTAAAAATGGAGCGTTATACGATACAACAACGTCTTTCATTATTGAACAATATTGCAAAAATAATGAAAGCTTAGCGTCCACAGTTCGAAGGTTTCATACAAAATATGGTGTTTTAACCTCGTCAACTGTGAAAAGATTAATTGAAAAATTCAGGGAGCCTGGATCAGTTTGAGACGCTCAACACTCCGGTCGTAAAAAAACAAGCCGTTCAAATGTCCATATCGAAGTAGTTCGTGAGAGTGTTGGTGAAAACTTAGGAACGTCAATTCTGCGACGTGGACAAGAATTGCAAATTTCAAGAAGCTTTCTACAGCGTATACTCGGAAAAGTCTGTCTTCATGCTTACAAAATTCAATTAACACAACACAACAACTGAAGCATAATGACCATGAGCAGCAAAAAGAGTTCGTGGAATGGATTATTGAACATCAACAAGCGGATACTGATTTTTCGAGCAAAATCATCTTAAGCTTTGTTAATCGCCAAAATTGCCGTATTTGGGGTTCGGAGATCCCATGGTGCGGATTTTGGGCTTGATGCATCATTGGACCATACTTTTTTGAAAATGAGGCTGGTGAAGCAGTAACTTGTTACTGGTGCTCGATATCGCGACATGATAACACAGTTCTTTCTGCCGAAATTGGCTGGTATTAGTCTAATCATATTAGACGCAAATATCCCTGGTATGCGAAATAATTGTAAAGTCTGATTTTATTGCTGCAAGTTGTCCAAGGGGGTATTCAAAACATGGACGCATAAAATGGGTACACCAATTTTTGTGGGAAAACTTTTTATTCGACAACAAAGAATGAGTGTGTTTTTTGGGATTCAATCGAAAGTGTTGGTCGGAATGAAAAAACTCTTTATACAAGATTTTTAGGTATTTATGAGACCTACAAAATGAGATCACACGTAAAACGATCAGACTAATAGCAAAAAAGTTATAGCCGAAATCCGAGGCAAACTGCAGGCTTTGGCAATTGTTGGTAATTGATGGTTTCTGGCAGATATTTGAAATTTTTCAGATTCGTAGGATTCGTACTTCTAAATAACCACAACAAAATTGGAGTAGATTGGTCAAGTAGTTTTTGAGAATTTCTAATTGTTTATCCCAAAACACCTGTTCCGGTCATCACTGCTAGTTTATTGAGCTAAAGGGCTAGTTCGAAGGGCATTTTCTAGCAAAATACACTAGTTTACCTTGCCGATATGAATGGCAAACCATTCCGGAAGATAAATGTTATTTTTATTCAAAAAAAAGGATGGGCTACGTTTTTTCTTCTAAATAAATTCAAACATTTCGTATTTATGAGTAATTCGCGACAGAAGGTGATAGACACATCCGCTTTGTTTTAAAATGTGAATAGTAAAGTATGTTTTTCGAATATCGTAGCGCATTTGTTTAATTACTCACAAATACGAAATGATTGAATTTGTTTAGAAGAAAAAAACTAACTTTTGTTTTTCGCAAAAAGTAACATTTATCTTTCGGAATGGTTGTTGATTCATATCGACAAGGTAAACACGTGTATTTTGCTAATGAATGCTCTTTGAACGAACTCTATAGAGTGTTCTTTAAACTAGTAGTGATGGCCGGAAAACAGGTGTTTTGGGATAAACAAAAATTCTCAAAAAACCACTTGACCAATATACTCCAATTTTGTTGTTGTTATTTAGAAGGATGAATCCTGCTGATTTGAGTAATTTCAAGTGAAATTATCGTCGCATTACCAACAAGTGCCAAAACCTGCATTTTGCCTCGTTTTTCGGCTACAACATTTTTGCTGTTAGTCGGATCTTTTCACGAGTGGTCTCATTTTGTAGGTCTCATTAATACCTAAAAATCTTATATGTGAAGTTTTTTCGTTCCTGTTCCACAAAAACACGTTATCTCATTTTTTGTTGACAGGTAAAAAGTTTTCCCACAAAAATTGGTGTACCTACCCATTTTATGCGTTCACGTTTTGAATACCCTCTTGAACAACGTGCAGCAATAAAACCAGGCTTTACTATTATCCCGGGGAAATTTGCTAATATGATTAGACTATAAGGATGTGTTTAAGATGTGGTTTCAACAGACTGTGCCACATTCAAGACAGCCAGTGGAACAATTCAATTACTGAAAGACATTTCTGGTCGTGTATTTTCCCGTTTCGGTGATCAGAATTGGCCCCTAGATCGTGTGACTAAACACCATTAGATTTATTCTTATGGAGTTATTTAGAGCCGTATCGTCAGTACATTAATTGTAGGACGCCTTTAGGGCCTCCGTAATTGTCAGTCTTTTCTCTCCTTAAAAAATTTCTAGATTGCAGCTATGCCGTGTTAGCGACAGCGCTCTCCTGTTGTGAAGTTATGTTTTTTTTTAATTATAGGAAATTTCAGGCTGATAAAACGTGGTATAAATCAAAAGCATGAACAATTTGATGCAAATAGGTATTTGTGACATAACCTCAAAATAGAGCGTTTTTTTTTTAATTGTGTACATGGCTTTGTGGCATACATTCGATGTACTAATTGGAATCGATCAGCCGCTTTTCAGACATTTAGAAGGAGTGATAACAATTTGTGTGAAGTATGTTGAGAAGGTCAAAAATAGTAACTGGTGTTGGATAATAACAATCGAGCCATTCATCAACTTTGACAGCGACACCGATTAGGTAGAGTCTAGCTGTTATGACGTAGCGTAGGTTTTCCGAGGGGTTGAACCAAAAACCATTGTTGGTGCTGTCTAACTTTAGTGTCATCCGACAGTTAAGCACGGTTTTTTCAATCGCTGGTTAAATTTTAAGTTAGGTTACTATGACTTGGAAGTTGACTATCTGTTGCCTGTAAATTCGTTGTTCGCTGATTTTAGACCTGAATTATCGAGTTCTATACATTTCGTGATGTTCAGTATTTGTGTCTCGTATCATAACTGGTGTCACTGCCAAACATATTAGGTTAGACCACAACTTTATAGTTATCCCATACATGGTCTTGAGGTCGGAATTAAATACCACTTTAGGAGAAACTTTATGTTAAATAATGCTTTTTGAGAGTTAACTTCTGGTTAGTAGTTAAGTTGCAGTTAATTTGAGATTGAAAAACCGGACCTTATGTCGGGTTCATGCACGACTTAAACTAACCGAACTTAAGGATCAGCTGTTTATACACCAGTGTCCTCCACATGTTACGCCTCCAGATAGTAACTAGCTAGTGACTTCCAGTGGTGGTCAAACGTTTTGGTGACGTCACACCCATTTTTTGACATGATTCGGGTGGTTTCGGAACTCGTCTTACGCTTGGATAGCCCTTTCCATACTGTTCTATGCTCGTATTGACGTAATTATAATAATTTTGTGGTGTCCCGTGTTCCACGACGATTTACCCAGAAAGCCAGGCAGTGACTCATCTGTTGTTTTTGTTTGAGTTGTTGACGAATTTGTGGTAGAGATTTGTTTTGGTGTTCGTCTTCGGGTGTGTTTTTCTGCCTTTGACTTGTTTTTTGTGCGATTAATTGAGGATGGCCATGCCTAGAGCAAAATAACGAAAAGCCGCGGTGGTATCAACTCCTGACCTTGTTGAAGAGGTACCTGCAGAAGTCACCTGAACGCAATCGGACATCGCCAGAGGAGCGCCTAATGATGACGTTGCAGTAAGTATCCAAATCAGTTCATTTTTGCATAAATGACAAAATATATTGAGGTTATGGTCGTTTTCTTAATTTCAAGGTCACTTCTTAAATTAAAGTTCAATATATTGAACTTTTCCTTAAGAACCAACCAATCGGATCACTAGCGTTGGTCAGCTGATCGCTACAGCTGGAATTAGAAGATGGCTACGAGCCATCGATACTGTACAAAAGTCGATAGTCGATATTTATATCGTGATGTTTGATCGATTTTATATCGCAGTATGGGCAGATGGTTCGGTGATACTTGTATGAAAAATTATTTGCGCTTGCTTACGCATGACAGTTTAGAGCTGAACATCGGGGCGGATTGATAAAAAAAATCATGTATGTTAAAAATTATAATAATTAAAGTCAGTGGTCATGTTTCCTTCATAAATTAGATCAAAAAACAGCATGAAAAAAATACCAAGATAGAGGATTTTGAAATTATATTCTAGAGAACGAAAAAAAAAAAAAGGGAAATGATCTTAAAATTTTGTGCTTGTAGTACTGACTTCATAGCTGATAGATGCAAACACTTTCATGTCTGAGACTGTACCAGTGGTGATGTTGGCAAATTATAGCCCCTACAGAAGAAAAAAGAGAATTTAAATCTATACCATGCCCCCCATGACATGTTTTTCCAAAACCTCACAGAACACTGTGAAGGTACTTTGTCATTAACTACAAACCAGGTGTACACCTGACGAATGCTGTGTATTCGCAGCCCACCAAATATGTAATCTCTTTTGACGTTTATTGAGGTAAACAGATTGAGTAGCACGTAACTTTTTTTGTGACATCTGTACTGTTGGTAATAACAAACCTGGTAAAGGGCCAAATTAAGGACTGGCA